TCCATAAACAGGATCCATCAAATGCTCGTTGATGTCATTAGAATACACAGGTTCTGGTGTAGATGGTGCACTGCTTCGTTTACTAGAAGCATCGTAATATGACCAGGAATCTGCACGCATAGTTTGCTTACCTCTTGGAAAAGTGAAAAAAGCGTCAAGTCACAATCAGAAATATCATCAAGAACACTTCTAAAAGATATTGCGTCTGAAGCAGCTGTTAAATTCCTCGTGCTTCTTGGTTCATCATACAAAAAAGCAACTCCACTAAACTAGATCTGTAACTGGAACTACTACTTTCCATTGTACTTAAAGTATTAAATCTTGAAGAACTGGCGGATGAAGGGACATCGTAAGTTGAATCATCTGGTAAGGGCGGGGGTGGAGGGTATTCAGGAGGTGGTGGGCTGTAACTTCTTGAAACATCATCAGGTATCTTACTTAAATCTTGAATCTTGGAACTTAGAACTGGATAAAAGCAGGGTTCATCCGGTGCGATTTTGGCATTTGGATTAGCCGGCCATGGAGATTGGACGATCATCAATAAATGGAGGAGAAATTTGTGCACTACACCCATGCTTGTATCTCGTCCAAAGCTTGCAAATTTTTTATGTACTCGTCTACTGATTTCATCCTTTGCTTGTTTTGTAGTTCTTTCTATACGATTACGGGCAGACTTCTTGCCTTTCTCGAGACTTCCAACTAGGTTTTACCTTTCTCCTGAAAAATAGACATATAGTATTGTAGAAAAAAAAATTTATGGGTATGTTTCTGATTTAGAAAAACGTGCGTGTCTGAAAAATCAATATCTAGAGAAATAATTCCAACAATAAACCAAGGATTTACTACTTTGTGGACGTGCAAACGGGCAGAGCAAATTATATCAAGTTTTGCCTATTTTATGAGTGCCAAGTTACATATACAAGAAATCTACACAAATGCAGAATAACTCAGTAGAACTGATTTTTTCCTTAATTCAATATTCATTCTTGATAATTATTACATAATATTATGAATTTTTCAAACAAATTCTGAGCATGCGAACAGATTGAACAATAGTAATAGAAAGTAATTATAATCTCAATTTATTATGTATCATGGAAACAACTGTAACAATGACAAGAATTTTAACTTTCACTTGAGGAGTATGGAAATAATAAATACGACATCAATAGAAGATAAAAATTACCTGCACATTTTAGTACTGATAGCTCTATTAAAGAAAATATAAATATTATTGACTTGTATGGTATTAGACGAAAGCAGCTATTTAAAAACAAAAAATACTTGGCATTTTGAAACATGTGTAAAAAGTATATAGTACCACATTATGATATTTGTTCTGTGAAATTTTTCCAATAAAAATATTTTATTCAATAATTAAATATTTGATTTTTTTTGTCTGATATTTTTTTGTCGTTTTATCTGTTTGAGTAAAGCCTATTTTTCTATTACTTAATACTTAAAATCTAATCGTTTTCCAATTTCGAAAATTATGTTTCAATTATCTTATTATTCTATATGGATTCTATATAATTTATTCTGTTATATTTGATATAGCGATATCGTTTATTTTACATTAAAAAAATTTATAGCACAAACAAAATTTTACATGGACTAAACGTTTGTAACTCTGATAACATTCTAGATATAATTAATATAATAAAAGTTGGCTGATTATATGCCAATCTTATAAAATTTGATTTATGGTCGTACAACTATAATTGTATTATTTTATACATGTCTGTGTTATTGTATTAGTAATTTGATAGCTTAAACAAGGTGTAAGTGGTATTTTTCCTCAAAACAAGTTGCATTAAACTTTAATATTTTTTTATTAGAATCACTTTTGGTAGTCCTGTAAAGCACTCTCTATCACTAGTTAAAGTATCATTTAAATCGCCCAAAAATAATGATTCAATAATTAATAATAATGGAACTTCTCAACTACCTATGACTTTTTCTATATTTTGTGTATGTAGGTTGACCTATCTAAATTTGATATTATTATTTATTAAAATTTTCTTTATTACTGATATAGCAAAACTGGAAGGTGCTATTCGGAAACAAATTAAGATCTATATGCTCGAATAAAAACCGAAAAATCGTGTCATTTATTACCTGTAAATCAGAAGAAAACGTCTTGATCAACTCCCTGCTCCTATCAAATCCGTTCCTGCCCCTTTTTTCACTCGGAGACGCCAGAGGCGGATCAGGTTTCTCCAAAATCGTTGCATAATAATGTTCATCAGTCGCATCCAAAATATTAACCACACTATCATCTTCTACACTTGAAGATGCACTTGATGAAGACAAATTGGTGTTATTGTACAAAGGCTGAGAAGCATTTTGGTTGTCATAAGTTGGTTGCCGATTCCTGACTCTTGGCAGAGGAATTGGTTTTTTTGGTAAATCTTGGGCGATTTTGCTTGGAGTTGCTACTCGTGGTTTGGGAACCGGTGGTGCGTTCATTGTAAATGACTTTGGTTAAAATCTGTTTAGCATCACAGGGAAAAAAAGATTTCTTCAGTAAAGTTGATCACTATCAATCACGTACTTGGACAGACATTGGAGGCAATCACAGTAGTCCATAAGAATTTGGTGTCAATCATAGTAGAGCACCAGGAATTTATTTTAGTCACATTTTTTTTTAAATTTGAATATATTTTGATTTTAACTTAACTTAGGGTTACTTGATGTCATTTTCAGTTCCTTTTCCACAAAAGCTATTTGCCCTAGGAGTCATTAAAAACTACTTAGTAATTGCAGACAATTAAAACTGTCTACAGAGTTAACTGTTGCCGCAATTAACTGTTGAGGAGACACCACAGGCTTTAATTTGTTTAATTAGCACTTTGAATGAAAACATTAAATTTCTTTTAGTAAATCTTATGAACAAATATTATTATTTCAGCAACATTATTTAAAATCTAAACTAATATATTTGTTATGATTATATATTATTGATTAAAAATCACTCACTAATATGAATGTGTATGTTTGGTGTAAAATTCATTAAAACTAAAGATTTTTTGTACTTTAGTTTTAGTAAAATCAAAGAACAAATATTATTTATTTCAAAATAATAATGTGTAAAAATATATAACAGAGAATTAATATATAAAAAATCTAAGATTTACTATTTTCTATTAATAATGTATGCCCCAGCTGCAAATTTACCAAAAACTGTTTACTTTATTATGATAAATTAACCATTTTTAGTTGCTATAGTGCTTGTATTATATTTTATTATATTTTAAAATATATTTCCAACGTGTCACACAATTTTAATTGCAACTGTTCATTTTAATATTTATTTATTCAGTTGTACAACCACACAACTATGTAGTTAATTGCACTCGACCTTATTTTTGCGCATTTCGTTAAAACTTTATGAATAATTTTAAATTTATACACATGTTTCCAAGTATTCTTAAATTGTAGAGATTTCAGTGTTATTTAGTTACAAAAATTTATTTTATTTTGTCCATAAATTAGCCAAATATGTACTGTACTTTTGTGGAACCTGGAACAAAATCTGCCATTAGGATATATCAGAAATAATCAGAAGTAACTTTATTTCAGTTAATAAAAGAGGTAAAAAATGTACAATGATTACAATTACATGATTTTACGGATTTAAAAAAATCTTCACACATCTAAATTTGTATTGTTGCAACTGAATTTGATCATATAATTATTAAAAAATTTATTATCAACTTGTCTATGAATTATATAAAAAATATCATTGCATTTCAAATTAGCAAATAGCATCTTGAATGTCCCATTTTTTGGATACTTCTATCCTGTATTAAAATTTTTGTTGAGAAAAATATAGAATATTTTGTGAAAACCATAATTGATACAAATTGCAGAATTAGTATATTTTGTAATTGTGTCTATATTATTCAGTATAGACTCTTAGATAAGAATAATATATAGAAAAATATTTTTCAAAGCAAATCTACAAGTCAATTTTTAAACGTTAATAAAGATTATTTAAATATCTTAATCATATAAAGAATTTCTGAAAACACTGAATTTCTTACTATATTATTAGTCATTTGTAATATCTATAAGTCATAAAACACAATTGTATAATTAGAATTATTAGAAATAGTGAGAGAAATTATAATAATAAAATAATAGCATATTAAAAAAGCATATTAAAAATTTAAATAAGTGCAATATAAAAAATAAGTATAATGAGAAAAATATAAATTGCCTTATTAGTAGAATAACAAAAAAAATTGAACATTTTAGTAAAAATAGGATTTTAACCTTTTCCACTCGCAAATTTCGAGATTTGTATGAATTTTGCCTCCGGCGGCATCCGAGTGGAAAAGGTTAACTTATATTCACAAATATATCATTGAAAAAATCGAATAAGAATAATATTCAATAAAATATAATAATCAATAAAAAATACTCGAATAAGTCCAATATTCAAAAAAGAATATTTTTCAAATGAAAACAACATTAGAAAAGTTTATTTTAAAAAAGTATAAAATTCAGAATGTAAATATCCAAAAATGTGTTTAAAAGTGCAATACTCAAAAAAGTATAATCCAAAATGAATGAAGTATGAGAAAAGTATAATTTTGAAGAAGATATAATGAAAATATTAAATTCCTGATAATTCTAAAACTATAAAAATATTAAAACTGTATATAATAAATCGATGAAAGTTTCAATATGAAATTTCAAAAAAATGTTATAAATAATAATAAATATAAATTTGCAGCAAATAATTTTAATTATATTTAAGTTTAATCTAACTCCAGAAAGTATTTATTTATTAATTGAAAGTATAAAAGTATTGGTTTTATTACGGTAAAATATCAAAAAAATATGAGCTCAAAAAGTGCTATATGTACTTAAAAAGTAAAATCCATAATCAATAAAGTATGAGAAAAGTATATTTCTGAAAAAAATATTTAAGAAAATAATGAAACCATGATAATTTTAAAACCAAGAAAATATCAAAACCATAAAAGTCACAATATAAAATTTGGAAAAAAAATTATACTCAAAAAATATAAATTTGCAGGGAGTAATTTTTTTCAAATTATATTTAAGTGTAAAACTACTTCAGAAAGAATTTATAATCAAATATAAATTTTCAAGATAAAATATGATTAATTCATGATGATAATATAAAAAATTATAAAATTCAAGAAGTAAAATTAAATCCAAAAAATATATTTAAAAAGTGCAGACTTATAAATAGTATAATTTCAATAAAGTATGTGTAAAGGATACTTTTGAAGAAGATATATTGTGTATGAAAATATTAAAGCCATGATAATTTTAAAACAAAAGTATATTTCTATTTTCTATATTTGTTATACTTTTATACTTGCTATAACACTTCCATGAAATTTGGAAAAAATGTACTCAAAAAATATAAAATTCCAGCAAATTTTGTAAATACATTTAAATTAAAATTGTATGTACATTTAAATTAAAATTTTAGCAAAAACAGGTTAACATTCAAGTGTTAACCAACAAAAAATATATTTTTTTTATATCCAATTATAATTTTTCAAGATAAAATATAATTTATTTATGACATATTTATATAATATGAAAAGTATGGTTAGTATTAGCTCAACATTTAAGATGAATCAAAGATTTCAATCATTTTTGTGCAATTTATTATGAAACGTATAAGAATTCTTCCTAGGTATAAATACATACCTGTGACATTGAAATTTAATCCCCATATGCACTGTAACTTTCACTACAAATTAATATATCTTATTTAAAACAGAATATTATTTAGTTCACTCAAATTTATTATGAAATAATAAATGTTTTTATATAAAAATAACACTTTATAACCTGTCAAAAATAAATACACAACTGGCAGTTATCAATGGAGTGTAACAAATGGTATCTTTTGACTTGTTGCGTCAACAAAGAGAATTTCGAACGGAGTTTGCCGAAAGGTTAAACGGAAACGGTCGAAGACAAATGTCAAAGGAACTGTCAAGTTTAACGGTGAAGTTATCGTTATAATGGATAACTGCCAACTTCACGACTGAAAATAATGACTTTTGACAGCTGGATATGACACATTTTTGACAGCAACGGCTGCTGGTGAAGTTAACCTTTTATATGCCGCTAATAATTAAAATTTTAATTTAATTAAGTGTTTTTAATAGTTTAGATATGTTTTTATAGATCAATGTGTTAAATTTTAACTTTACAATGGAAGTAGATAGTGAAATTTTAAGTTCTACTTGTAACTTTCCGCCAAATAAATACCTCGATTGTTTGGGACAAAACAGTGTAAACCAAGAACAAACATTTCACGAAAACAGTTTTATCACAAAAAATGAACTAAATACAATTTTCCAAAATACTAGTCACTTGAGTGTAAATGATATAAAAACTATAAACTTATTCAATCATAAATTTGATTTAGGTGCAGCTTTTCAAAGACAATCCAAAATTTTGTTCAGCTTAGCACTGAAAAACTTGCAAGTATTCCATCAAAATGTCACAAATAATTTAACTGAAAGTATAAGCAATGATCGAGTTGACTATTATGATCTACGTACTCAAATAACTGATTTGCTGTACCATGCTAAAATGTATGTAAAAGATTTAAATAACATGCAATCTATTTACAACATTGTTTATTGTCATAAAGATTTATTAGAAGAATTGACAACATTTCGATTGAGTCTAAACATGTTCTCAAATCTACCAGGTTATATTCTTAGACATTCCTTTTCAAATCGAGGCAACAGATGCACTCAGGCTTCGTATCATTTATTCCATGGACATTTGGAATGGAGATGGCATCATTTAATTATAATTTTTGAATTAAATAAAGGACATTCAGAAATTAATGGCAGTATTGAGAATAACGATCATACAACATTTGAAGAATATCTGCTATTATTCTTAGCTGATTTGGTGATAATTGCTATTGAAATATTTGATAAAACTCAATTTCATGATGTGGTAGATACGACACCTTTTCCATGTTTTTGTGTAAAAGAATGTTGGTTATTGTTGCAGGTTTTAGTTGATGAATTGCATTCAAAAAGTCTGTTGAAAAGCTTTTGGTTTTACATAGATTTACTTTTAAATAAAGTTGTTGGCATTGGTCCAGTAACCCCAGAAATGAACGGTTATGCCAAATTAAATATTCATCATAAGTTTAAAAATGATGATAGGAATGGATTTGGTATATGGTTGCTGATTCATATAGCTCAATTGCACGGATTTACAAGAAATGGACAATTTATTGGTACTTGTTCAGACAGGATATCTTCCCATTATAAAATGTTAGAATTGTGTATGAAACAAGCAGTTACAGAAGATGTAGCAGAAAAATCATTGAGAACATATATAATTTTAGTTTCAGATATAACAATTAAATGGTGGGAACCAAAGAATGATATCCTGGCTTTACTATGGGAGTACTTCCAAAAAAAGTTAAATAGTTCCTTTTTTATCCAAGGAGCATCAATACAAACACTAGCTGTTTGCAGTAATACCGCTTTAGGTTACCTAAATAAAATCAAACAGCGTTTGTCTTGCCCTCACATCGATACTCAAGAGTCTAGCTTTAACAACTACTTATATCTACTTGGTAAACATTTTATGCGATGTCGAGATAACAATGAGGTCTCATACTGGCAAAAGTTTAAAGGTCGTATATACCCAAAATTGTCTGCAAATAAATTATTCTCACTTACAGAAATGGGATTGATAAACTTGACTTCTATGTTTTTGACTTTAGCACACAGCATTGATGTTAAT